TTCCTCCCTGGACTCGACGAGTTGACCCTTTGACTTAGGGTTTTCTTTCATTTTTTAGCCTTTCTGATTTTGAGTGTTACAACATCAGATCAAAGTGGCTGAAGTGATCTTCAAGCCTACTGCTAAAGAATACACGACAATTGTTGCAGAGATCATCGGAAAAGAGATGTGATGTGGCGCGAGGGGGGGGTCCGATGTGCTTATTGTTGAAAAGGAGTGAGTCAAGGCTAGCCCCAAACCAACGGGGATATTAAAGGGTCTAGTTTATGGTTTTGGCTAGGCAATTTGATGTATAGGTCTTAATGGGTCTTTTGTCTTGTAATAGAGTGTTTTGGAAGAGTTTACGGCCAAAGGTATGTTTACGGCCAATGTTTCGCCTATATATAGGGTGTGTCTGAGTCAGTTGAAGGTTGTTGTTGATCCACAAAGTTTACGGTTATTTGTGTGTGTCCAAGTTGTACCCGATGTTTCTTTGATATAAACGTGTGTAAAGCTTGGTTTAATCTTCTTCTACTCCATTCTTATCTTGTTTGATTGTTAGTTTCTTGATCACTAGTTAAGATCCCTATTTGTAGGGACTTACAAAAAGAGATTAATTAAATAAAGGGGACCGATACTGTAATTATAAGATAGTTACAAAGTTGGGCTTAGGATCCATAAAGAAAGCATGGACGAATTATATATGAGGATCCATATTGAAATCGTCCAAGGGCCTTCTAGAAGGGTCTTTAGGCTGCTTAAGGCCTAAGCAACTGGATTAGGGTTTCCTAGTTGATAACCCTAGATGCCTAACTATAAAAGGAACCATTGGGCAAGCCAAAAACATCCCTAACCTTCTAAGAGAAACCCTAGGACATTTTTGGTGCCTCCTCCCTCTCTCCTTATTCATCTTGTTACTTATGGTGTTTGTGACTCCATTAAAGGTGCAACATTCGAGGCACTAAGCTTTCAAAAGTCAAGATCAAGAAGGTTATTGATTATTATTGCTACATAACAATCAAGGTAAGATCTAAACCCTTATTCATATGTTAATTCAATTATTGAATGCTAGATCTAGGGTTTATTGCTTTGGTATTCAATGTAGTATGTTCAATTAGAAAAACCTAGATCCAAGCAATTAGGGTTGCATGAACACCATAGGAATGATCTTACGCTCATAATCCCTCAGTGGTATCAGAGCCTAGGTCATTTTTCTAGTTGAATAGATGCAAAAGTGAACTGTTAAAGGATCAAAAAGTCGAATTTTTGCTGTATGCGACGCCGACTCTACGAGTCCATCGGTGGACTCGGCGAGTCCAGGGTGCAATTGTTGGGATTTTCGATTTTTTGAGTAGTTTTTGATGAAGATAATTACCTAAACTCATTTGTCCTACCTAAAATCATGTTTTTATGTTTGGAATGGTTATCCTTATCAAAATTGATGGATTTGGTTAAATATGGATAATGTAGGATTATTATAAGTCATATATTTAACCTGATAAGTTTGAAAAGTGTCAATTTACACCCTTGAGGTTTTATAATTTAAGTTTGAACTTAAATGTTTTAGTTTTTGAAACTTAAATAGTTAAACCCTAGTGTTTTGAATGGTTTTAAAACTTGTTCTCAAGTTTTGGAATTTAAATTTAATTAAAAGGTCTTGATTTTCAAATATTAAATTTTAAAACCTTAGTATTTTGAAAAGTTCAAATTACGCCTTTATGGTCTTATTAAATTAATTAAGTGTGTAATTAAAAGAGAGTTAATAAATCCATAATGTAATGGTTTATATTTAATAAAATTAAAGGTATTATTTTGTTAGATTAAACCACTTAGTATTTTAAAAGTGTAAAATACACCCTTTTACTATATAAAATTAAAAGTCTGATATTATATATATATATATATACTAGTCGGGTACCCGCACGATGCGGCAGCGACAAATTATTTTCATATTGCGAGTTGTTTTTTTTTTTGTCAGATAGTTTGTTTCTGCCTTTTAGGTTCAAATTTTATAAATTTAGTAATTTATTGAAGAAAACCTTCAGACCTCTAGTGTCATGAAGGCTAGTCCTATCACAACCAGCCCATGATTGTTTTATACTTGTTTTTGTCTAGTAAGGGCTTAGAGATGCAGGTCAGATAACATGTTTTCAAAGACGAAATGTTGGACTAAAGGTCGATGGCTGGAGGTCGGATCAAAACGTGAAGTTTAGATTCAAAATCAATGAATAAAGGCTGACTCGAGGTGGAAGGTCGAAGAGCGAAGCTAAAAACATGGTATGATTTTCCCACGCCGCAACCACACAAATGATTGGATTATGATCACAAATTGGGCTTGCAGGGCTGAAGTGACCCACCAAACTAAGTCCTGTAGTCCGAAATGGAGACCAATAGTTGACAAAATTTTTTGATTTAGATTATCTTTAAAAAATCTCTAAATATAAGATTTGAATATTAAAATATAGTAACAAAAGCTAAAATATTATTCTTAAACAACTTCCAAATTTTTTGCATATGTATCAAATACTAATATACGTTACCTGCAATTTGTGTGTCTATTTAGTTAATTTCACCATTTTTCTTGACTAATAGTTTCTTTTTAGGTGGCAAAAAATGTCATTTTTGTATTATTTTTCATTAGAAAGCATGTCATATTTTAATACAATTTGGTCCCTTTATCGGTGCCATAAAGTGTCGTTGAAAACAACCATCCACTCCGTGTTTTTTTTATTTGCGAGTCGATTCAAATATAATCTAGTTTTGCTTAATATAATCACGTTCAACAAAAAGCCTTTTTACATATCTTGTTTTACATGATTGCTGATTCCCAAGTTATGATAGTGATACTATTATTTACTTACAATTTAAAAATCTTGATAGATATACAAATACTAAGATTAACTTTAAGCTTTCCTATAGTTTTATTTTGTTATTGGATTCTTCACGAAAACCTACTGCTCTATTTTCATCATTTCTCATATATAAATAAAAATCATTAATGTTGCCATACGTTCAACATTTCTCATACATGAGTAAGAATATAAAGATTACATGAAAAAATAAATTTTTGTTTGTGTATTTACATAAATCAATGCACAACCATGAGTAAGATTATTATCACAAGCAAAGATAATTAACAAAATGTGCTATAACACATAACGACTACATCACTAATTACTTGCTTGCCAGTATTATACAAAAATTGCATACCCAACTACAACCGATCAAACACCACCCTAACTTGATCCTCATTAAAATTTATTATCCGGGTTCCATGGTTTGTCTATCTGCTCACATTGGTGAAAAGACATACATACCCTTTTCATGAATCAAAAGTTACAAAAAGGAAAAGAAACAAAAAAAAAAATCAGATACCATTACCAGATAGGGTTGTCATCTTCAACACGTTCTTGAGATTGAGACATAACATGGATTCTGTAAAAAAAAAAAACCCACAAAAGTGTATGTTCTTTGCATATTACTTATTCTATGTAAAAGTATCAAATTGAGATTTTGGTAGTGTCTTTCTCTTGTTCAGAACACACCCAACATCAAAAATTATAATGTGATGGTTGCATCACAGATCTTATCTGATGTTTATCTTACCTAAACACAAAAACTATTTTGGTATGATATATATTATCATTTATGTTAAGAAAAACAAAAAAGAAGTAAAAATGTCTTACCATGATATTTATTGTTTAAAAACTTTTAATAAAAATCAATTGTTTCTTTGATACCAGGGATCTCTGAATGGATCAAACACCTAAAAACCACAACCTGAAACACAAGTTTGATAAATCAGGAAAGACACATCTTTTACCACAATCTAAAAGAAATGGAATTGGTTTTACCACAACCCGAAATAAATGTTGATGCTCATTGAAGCAAAACTTTTACCACAATCTAAAAGAAATGGAATTGTTTTTACCTGAGACCATGGATTGGGGGTTTAATAGCCACAAGAATCAGGAAAGACAGATATCTTAGATCATGGTTGAACTTAACCTGCAAATAGAAGGAGAAATGTGTGTGGTTAGATCTAGGTGTATATGTGTGTATTTGTGAACGCATACCAGAAAGAGACAAATCAATAACACAAACTTCTTTGACAAAGAAAAAGAAGAAACATAATTAAAGGAGGTTTCTAGGATAGTTTTTGCATTAAATGTAGTTTTAAGCACGCATATGTACACTGAAAAAGAACTTCCCCTGTTCTTGTTTGTCACCATCTGCAACCAAAGGACAAATGATTACCGTATGAGTTTACACACATAAAGTAAGAGAGAGGATACAGAGAAATATGTCTTCATATACCTTTTCCTTTTGAATCGAATCATAATTTACTCCATTTCCTACATGATTAGTAAAACCAAACATTAAAACGATTTTTTAGTAGTTAATGGATGTAAAATCAAAGAAAATGTGTGTGTATGTGTGGTGTGTGTTTGGATCTTGATGCTCTTCCCAAAAACCCACACAAACTTCATTAGAGAAACTACAAAACCAAAAAAAAAATTGTTCACACACATAAATTGCTTTTTGAGTACCTGATGGCGAGATTCTATCATTGAGAGTGTGTGGTGGTTGCTGTAAACGGCGGTTACAGAGGTGTGTATGTGTGTGGTATGGAAAAGAAAACACATTCATAAGAACACATACATTAAACATCATCATCATGTTGAAGCTTACCGTATATTATTCGACTTCAGGTTGTACATTGTTTCTTTGTTTAAATCCAAAAACTCCAAAATCTTTGACGATGTTGACAATGATAAATGATGGTGATTAAGGCCATGGAAAACCCTATGAAACCATGTCTAGTTCAAATATATTACCTGGAGTAGTAGAGCAATGAAAACACTTTGCTGATACATCCGCAACAACGAAAATCCGAGCATGCTTATGTTACAAAATAAAAAAATAAAAAAATCAGAAACAAAATTGAGCATATTTAAAAAAACGGGAGAGATAAACAAAATCTTGAAGCTCTAGAATTTGATGTGTCGCATCTAACAACTCTAGATCTGGGCGTTTTGATTTTCGATTCCAACTGAGGATGTGAACAAATAAGAAGTAAGAATAAGGAGTCGACTGATGCAATGGTGTCTAATCGTTGTTGGGGTGCAGGATATCTCTAAATCCACCATAACTGTTGCGTAGGCGAGATAAACATCAGATGATAAGCTCAACGATGAGAGAGAGAGAGAGAGAGAGAGAGAGAGAGAGAGAGACGCGTAAAGGAAATCAATAAGAGGATTCTTACCTGAATCGGACCCTCCAAGAACCATACATGACCAATGAGCGAAGGATCTGATGGTGGTCCAACAGAGGATGTAGTGAAGGAGCGATTGATAGCGGCTAGGGTTTTTTCCCGGAAAAATGGCTTCACCTGATGTTGAATGGAGCGAGCGAGAAAGAGAAAGGAACCCCTTTTGGTTCCCGATGTGTGAAAATTTGATTTCAAAAAAATTAAATTGCCCGCCTTGGAGATGTGAAGAAGGTGGGGGTTGGATGACTTGTTTGTATCTTCTGTGTCATAATTCTATTGGTTAAAACCATTTCACCAGGATTAGGATCAGAAGGATCATCACCATCCATTTGATATCCAATGGTCCATAATTTCTCTCCTTGTATTTTAAGATAGATGTCTTAAAATTGGTGGGGCCCACACTTATAAACTCTTTATAAGATGGTATATATATATATATATATATGGGAAAAGTAAATATACCCTTAAGGGTATATAAGCTTAGGTACCCAAACTCATCATACTACGTCGTTTTATATTATATATATACATTATAATTGTCTAATGTTCTTATAATTAAACTTCTAACTTGATTTCATTCAAAGATTTTTATAAATTTCACATTTATTTTTCTCTTACATAATTTTCATTTTCAACTATAATATATATAGCCTAATTGATGTTCGTCAAAAAAAATGTGATGTAAGAGGAAGATAATAATGAAATTTTGAAAATCTTGAATGTAAATCAACTTAAGGATTGAAGTTGAAGAACATTATAATAAATATATCAAACAAAACGATGTATTATGGTGAGTTTGGGTACCTAAGCTTATATACCCTTAAGGGTATATTCACTTTTCCCTCTATATATATATATATATATATATATATATATATATATATATATATATATATATATATGAGTAAAGAGTGAGTCTTACCGTTAGTAGGCCTCATTCACGAAGCTGGTCTATAAGGGGTGTTTATGGAAATTGCCTATAAAATGGAGATTCAATGGGTATCTACTCTTACCCACTGCACTCTTGACTAGTGGAGGATCGTTAGCCGAACGAGTAGGATAGGACACAACCTTCCATTATAAGTATAATAAAATACGAAGTAACTAAACACTTTTATAAATTCCCAAATGTTAGTTACTTTAGGAAAAATGTGGAGTTGGTGCTAATCCATGAAATTACACATTGCACCTTCTTGTTCGTTAGTGGAGCGCGTGTGGTTAACCGGAACACTAATATGGGACCAATGGAGGATGGAAATGGGTAGCTCGTAGATTATCATTGATCAATGGAGCGTGTGTTGTTAACCGACACATTGATTAGGTGATATGCATCTTCGAGAGTACCAAACTAATTTGCATGGTTATCCACACCTTGTTTGTAATCCTCGGCATCCTTGTCACAAACTTGGAGGGCACAATCGGGATTTAAACATGCCATTGAAAGGTTCAATAAATCTCAAAGGATATAGGAGTTTCAATTCATTTAAAACCTAATTTTCATTTTTCATGGTGGAAATTGGTAAATCGTCATTTACCTACCTTCAAATGTTCTGCAATTTCGATTACGTCATCCCTCTTCCAAATTGTAGAATATTGTGTTGGATCCTAGCCTCAATATTTCATTTAGGTGCTATATTGAGGATTTTATCAACTAACTTGAATTTCTCCCATTTTGTAGATGTCAAAGTCTAACAACTATGGTCTTCCTGAATCCATTGAAAAAAGTTTTCCGCATGAAGATGATGTTCCACGATTGGATTGTGGAAATGGAAATCATTCTTCACTTCCTCCAATAATTCTCCCTAACCTATGTGTTCGAAGACTCAAAATGTTCAAAGTCACTCAAGCCCTATTAGCAAAAAGACACGAAGATGGAAAGTCTGTATATGCTCATGTCTTTGATATAAAGTTGCATATGTATGGATTGGGGGTGTTGGGTGTTGATGTCTTAAGGAAGTTGGTTGTTGACTTGGTTCTTCAGTCACTTCCCGAATCATATAGTAAGTTCATTAGAGAGTACTATATGATAGACCACGATGTGACCCTCATTGATTTGACTTATTTTCTTATTGTTGCCAAATTAGAAATGATTTGGTGCACTAGTCGAGGAAATTTGTCTGGTAAATCAATATCCCAACCTTTTATGGGCAATGACAACATTGGAAGTCCAGAAAAGTTTTCTCTACACAAGAGAAAGGCTGAGTCTAAGATAGTCATGTGTACTATTCCAGAAGAATCCATATGTTTGTATTGCCAAAAGAGGGGGCATTGGTTACGAAGCTGCCCTGACTACTTGAGAGATCTAAGAGATGGGAGAGTCAAGATGTATGACTCTACTTCAGGTAAAATCCACTATCTAACTCTATTAAGTTTTCTATTTTAGATTCTTAATACACGATGTGATAAGATCACATGTTGATGTTTTGTAGGTTTGAAGAAAAGAAAGGAAGCTTAAAGGAAGAAGTGAGCTAAGTCTGATCACGAAGAAATGGATTTCGATGTGATTTGATGATCGGATTTTGGAGCTGCTGCTTAGAGTTATGATAGATTGCTTAGGAATATGTAATAGCATATTTTCATTGGAATTTGCGTTGTAAGGACAAGTTTTCCGCACCTTTTATAAATAAAATAAATTTTGAGTTTTGTCTTATTTATATCTCCTTGCAATGTCATTTGTGAAAATGGATGCTTGTGTGTTTCTATTATAAGCAATATTAAGTGGATGTGATTCTTAGTTATGTTATTTATGATAGTGTCATAATTTTCTAAGTAAGGAAAGATTCTCATCGCCTAAGTTTCAATTGAACGGAAGCTTGGAATCATATAATTTGAGTCATGTGATGTATAGAAATCTTGGTGCATAGAAAATTAAGATCAATTCCTTCTTCACATAAGTATGCGAGTCAAGTGAAAAACTAGGAGATCTGGTACGCAATGTTGTGCATTGGTCGAGTCGACCACAAATAACGATAAGATTATTCATCATGATTTAATAAAAGTCTAGTAAATATTGTTATGCTTACAAGATTAAGTGTAATTTTGAATCATTGAAAGGTTTCAATGAAAGGAAAAACGGATAAGAAGAACCAATTAGACAGAAAGATAAAAGTTTCTCCAATATGAAAAGATGGGAGAATACTTTAGTATCATGTTTTATGACTGTCTTATTGATTATGAAACCATATCACAATTGGTCCTCTAAGGACACCTTAGTGCACTAGTATGGCTAAGAAGAGGAATCGGAAACTATTGAAATGATTAAATCAAAAGGATTCCAAAATCAAGTCTTAGAGTCATACTCCAAGATTGTGACTTGAATGATACATCTTAAGAAGTTTTAACACACTCATCAAATGTGAAGTAAATTTTTTTCGTACTCTTGCACATTTGAAATTGGTAAATTGTGATGTTTTGCATAAGACAAAGACCAACTAATACCAATTGTGTGTAGTGTTTGTCTTGATACGAATCCGCACTAACTCTTGAATATTTGTTTGTCAAGAAATGTTTCTTGACAAAAGAATCTTATATGTCAAGAGGTTAGTGGGAGTCTAAATGATCTTGAAAAGATTTAAGAACTAATCAAGAGTAAACCTATTATTAAACACTAGCACACGACATGAGGTTTGTAACCTATCGTGTTGACATATTCTTGTTTATTTGCCATTACAGTTTGGTTAACTATGCATGTGAGTTCTATAATTTCTCAATTGATTGCATAGAGGCAAGACACCCTGATCAATGGAAAGTACATTGATAGGTAGGCGTGAGCTGCTCAATAACTTGGAAACAATGGTGGGACCCATGATTGTCAGAAATTAAGAATGAACAAGTTCTGTCCATAAGAATTTGGATTTGTCACAAACATTATCTTATGATTATGTTTATGATAAATTCACATGGATAAGAGCACATACACCATAAAATCTAAGTTTCATAAGGTTTCTCTCTGTTTCATGAAAATGATTGTGAGGAAACGCTTTCACTAAGAGAGATTTTAAGGAGATAGCAATTGTGATAATTGCATTCTCAAATTCGATTATGATTACGACATCCCTCTTTATTGTTCGAATTGTGAGGTTTGGAAATTAGTTTTTACATTTAAGATTTATTGCTATAACTACTAAAATTGTTTAGACACACATATGAGCTATCTAAGGAAAGGTGTATGAATTTGAGAAGCTTAGATAAAGGATTATCGAAGCATATTGTTTTAGAAATATGAACTTTGGATGTCAATAAGTATTGCTTTCTAGAAGTCTAACTGTTTTCTGAATACGTGTCAAAGCTAGTGGGAGCATAAATGCTATGCTGGTATGGATATAATCATCATGTTAGTGGGAGCATGATTATTATTTTAATTGTTTCAAGTTAACATCATTAATTATATAAAACAAAATGTTTCATTTTGCAAAGTGGCAGGGGTTAAAAAAATTGTTTTTCTATAATTAACAGAGAGAATATTATATTTCGTTTCAAAATCTAAAAGCTTGGAGTGAGAAATTTTAATCAAATTTAGTCAAAGGACATATATGGATGTTATGTTGAAAGATTCTATATATGGAAATATTATAGCAAGAGACTGGTAAAGTATCACGTTTTTTATTATAACTCGTGTCCCATATACTTCGGGTATAGGATTGATTACATATGCTATAATATTCGAACGTTCTAAATTTTCCAAATGCCTAAGGCATTAAAAGGGAGAAAGGACTACAACCGGATTTGACTAAAATAATTAAACAACTGTCAAAGACGATCTAAGGTTCGCCAAGGATGGTCACTTGTGGGCATTTGGAAGTATAGTAACGAATGGACCATATTGATTCTATTATGAATAGATAAGACTCTATTTAGAATGAGTTTTCATATGGCAAATATGGAAAAGTTTCTGTATTGGGAGTTGGACATTAAGAATCTATGTCTAGATAAGAAACTTTTATGCAAAAAGGATGTTCAAAGGAATGTAATTTGAATGTGAGACTTCATATCTATGGAATTGTCTTGTAACAATCTCCAATAGAGCTCTTTGTAATATCATTGGCAAAGTCTTGGTGATTTTGGTAATGTGACATTACGAAAGGATCGTTGCATAAAATGTTATAATCTAACATATTCTAATAGTGGCAAGAATTTGGTTTTCTTACACTAATGATAAGGATTAGGATTTGTGAAATGAGTATCGTTGGAAATGTGTTCAATTGATCTATTTCACAAAGTACGAACCATAGGAAAATAGAGTACACATGCTTGGAGCATAGGACAACTGTTGTTATAATTCAAGTAAAATTTTGATTATCCGAAACATTATACAATGAATAATGAGTAA